CTGAGCTTGAGAATCCAAGTGTAATGCCAAAGCTAATAGCTTTCTTATCTTCGTTGCTAGAACGAGTTGCTGAGTCTAACGATCTCACCAGACGAGTCACGACTCAGTCACAGAGAGTTTCTGTTTTCCATGGACTGAGTCGACCAACCATAACGATTCAAAGCTACCTCGAGAGGATTTTCAAATACGCTAATTGTAGTCCTTCTTGTTTCGTTGTTGCTTATGTTTATCTCGATCGTTTCACTCATAGACAACCTTCACTTCCCATCAATTCCTTCAATGTCCATCGTCTCCTTATCACCAGCGTCATGGTCTCTGCTAAATTCCTCGATGATCTGTAAGTTTCTATGTATTTTTCACTGAAATCGAAACTTCTGAATCGAGGGTCGATCTCAGAATTCAAAATTTTCAGACATCTCATCGAATTATCAAATGCTCTGTTTTCTTCTGTTTTGTCTGAATCTCGAAAAAGTTACAATTTTTTCACTTAAATTTTGGTATGACTCTGTTTTTGTAAAACCGTAATGGTAAAATTGAATCTTAATCCTCTGTTTTATGGATGCTCTGTTTCGTCCTCTGAAATTGAAATGAATTCTATAATTGATTTGGTTCTGATTATGTAAATCCTAATTTTTAACAGGTACTACAACAATGCGTATTACGCGAAAGTGGGAGGAATAAGCACGAAAGAGATGAATTTGCTAGAGCTTGATTTCTTATTCGGGTTAGGGTTCGATTTAAACGTGAAGCCAAACACATTCCAAGCTTATTTCACTTATCTTCAAAAGGAAATGACTCTTCTTCATCAACCTCTCTCTCTTGTTCATGTACCAATACCATCATCAAGATCTGTCATTACTTTCAACGACGACGAATCTTCTCATCAGAAACAACAACAACTCACTGTTTGAAATTCACATTACAATTCCAAATCTTTCTCTTTTCATGAAAAAAAATTAATCGATTTTTCGCCTTTTATTTTAATGAATTGTGTAGCTGTAGATGATGTAGAAATTAGTCGGTAGAGACTCTTATCTTGTCTTAATCAATCTTTGATTAAGAA